TAACTCCTTTGGACACTCGACAAAACGTGTATACCTATGTCCTGACTGAAGACGTGACACGGCACCCGCAGTGCAGTGTCCTTTGTCCATGCACCAATATGTACGCGCTTGTATGCGACCATCCAGTCGTGCTTTTCTCCCCTCATGCAATCGCTTCTCATTGGCGTGTTACTAACTGCTCTCTCTCTCTCTCTGCTTGCAGGCCCCATCAGCCGATGATCCCATCCAGAACTTCCTGAGTGATCTAGCCAAGACGAATGCCGCGGAATTGCGGAAATAGACTGCGAATCTAAATCCAATCTGCAACGGTCCCAAATCTCAATTGAAATCGGCGTTTTTGGAGTGGGAATTTGGTCACAACCCAGGTCGTGTGCGAGATTCGCCTGGGCGTGCATGCCTATTGGAGAGTGCCGTGATGCACGATATATGACCATAAAAGGACACACACAAAGTAAACTCACTGTATCATATACTGATATAGAAATCAAGATACGAACGTCCAGTATGTCGCTTGGCATTACTACTTCAGCTGTTGCGCGTGCTAACAATGTATCGAATGAAAGTGCTTCATGAAGTTCGGTACCTATTCCATTCACATATTACCATGATTGCTGATGTTGTGGGATATTCTGTAGTGTCTATGATGTTTTGGTCGCCCCTCTTACCTCGGATTATATTAATGAATGAAAACTAAACATCTGGAAGCTGTACTAGTTGCCTGGTGAAGTTGACGAAGGGATATACAGGTTCCATTTTGATATCATACCATGTATCATTGAGTGACAATAATTGATTAAAGACCTGCTACCAGTTGGGTAAGGCATGTGGTGTTGTCGCGTTTAGTGTTGTAGACAGACAACCATATTCTCGAATAACGCCGCATCCTGGCATTGCCTGAATTCCCACTTGTTGGTGGTCTTGTCTTGCGAGAGCACATTGTCTTGGCAAAACCATTGCGCCGCAAACCAGGTCACGGGCAGCAGGCACAAACCACGCCTGGTATGCTCCGAGCCGTTGGAGGTTTCTGCAGCAAGTCCCCGTCCTTTGGCACACAAAAGATCTCTAGGAATACCCTATACGTGGTCTTACAACGGTGTGTTGTGCTGCCGATCTGGCGCATTGCTCATGTGCCTGGTCGCATAGCCTAGGAGACGGTTTTGTTCATATCAAACGGCATGTGGAACATGTGCGAAACGCTATCGCAAAGGTGGATGGGTGGCTGTGGTTGGAAAATCGCGTTACCAGAACCAGCGTATAAATGATTGTGGCCAGATTGTTTTAATAGTGCTTCAATTCCCGAATCAAGCGTTGGGGTCGGGATTCAGATATTGGTATAGTTCTACATCACTTTGCAACCACAACATGCCACTATACTCAGTATACCGCAGAATGGAAAGCACCATGTGTTTTAGTACAGACAGGTGCAGTTTCCCTCCTTAAACTTTATATCCTCGTATGGTGGTAATATGTAAAGCATCTACAGACGAAAGAGGAGGGAGGCAATGTGTTGCTGGATATGATACGCGATGTGGTAGTAGGTGAATGGACTGTGTTTTCGGGCCACAAGCGGATCTACTAAGTCTTTGATCCGGAACTCCAATCACGAATTTTGCAATAACAAATACTAGCCAGATACCAAGCACGTACCTTTATTAGTCCGATGATGCCGAAAAAGCAAAGAAGTTTATCTACCTGACATTGACGTGCTATTGTGGCATCGCATGTATATTTCTCGTGTGTGTATAAATGTGGTAAATGTCGCTGATCAACTGCAGGAAGTACTAACATAAGATCTGACCACCGCAGCCATAGTAATAGACGTCAACTGCCCTTTTTGGGAGGCGGGGGATAATTGCATTCTGTGCTTCAGTAAAATAAATAGAAAGATAGGAAGGAACTAAAATTTATTCAATTAAAATCTAAATGCGAAAGATTAACTCAACACGTATTACAAGACTGGAATGTCGGTTGCAATGGGTGAGGGCGCCATTTCAATGCAATCCCAGGTAGGTCTACCCAATGCACTTCTCATGACGGAGTACGGTGTGACCTCTTGCCCAGCCATTACATCTCTGAGTATTTCTACACTGAATCCAGAGATAAGCGCCACGCCGGGTTCATCGGCACCCAAGGGGAAGTCGCGGATATTCCTATTCAAATTCCAGAATACAATCAGAGGCATAGCGTAACCGGCAGCACGATACTTCCTTTTCATTAGCTTGAAGTTAGTTGTGTTTCCTCTGCCATACGCAGCTTGAATTGCATGTCCAATAATACAATGAGTGATTTGGGCATCTCTTCTGTTTTCGATTTCGATTTTTTTCGCGGCCGTTAGAATCATAACCAAAGTGCGCTGGAAGTCCGTGGTACCCCCCCATTCGGCGCTTGTGACACTGTTTATCCTCTCACGCAAGTTGGACCCTTGCACTTCATGGAAGGTCGGATTTGTGGAGAAAGTGATTACCAGGTCCTTAAAGCTGGGATGTGCATTCATGCTCGAAATGAGCAATCCCATTGTGATGGACACAATCATTGGAAGAGCACCATTGGCTGTCATCGACCCAGACACATCGCACACCACCAGGCTTTGCGCCAAATTCTCCTTCTCTTCATTTGTCATTTGGGTCTTCATCGCCTCCCAACCGGCTTCCAACAGCTCATCAACCTCATTGTCATGTCGCTCATAATACTGCCTCACAATCTGGCGAGGGTGCAGTGTACTTGTGTTAACCTTCTCAGTACCGGCTGCCAAACACGCTTTGTACTCACCAAATCGCTCTTCATCACGCTTCTCAAACGCGTTGCCCTTTTTACCGTATCGAAACATCGCTTGACTTGGAACGACCCCATAGTTTATCAGATGTGCCCTTTTATTTGTCAAAAAGGTCTCTACAAGGGCCAAGCGAGCCCGCAATGTGGACAAAAGTACGCGCAACCCTTTCCGGCTCATAACCATGTGGTTCGCAAGCTTGGTGTTGAAATCGCCATTCTTCTTGCCCTCGGAAGGTACCCACTTCGCCATTATCGATATGAAACCGGTTTCACTCTGGCGGTCGGCCAGGAGGATCTTAGATACCAATTCGAAGGGCGCGGAGGTGGATACGCACTTTGCGACGCTCACCACATCGTCTCCACGGCCAAAGTTCACCACTTAGTGCTCTAATTATGTATTAAATCCGCGCTTGACTAT